CCCCCCCAGGGGAGGGTTTGCCTCCGCCACATTGGAGACTGTCAAGGCTCAGCTGGACAGGGTGCTGGGCCATCTTGTCTGGACTGGGCTCTTGCCCAGAGAGGTTGGACCAGATGATCCTGGAGGGCCCTTCCAACCTGGGATCCTGGGATTCTATGATTCTATGATTCTCTGCTCTGGCAGCAGTGGGGCTGCGGGGCCAGCCAGGGAAACCATTTGGTTCTGCTCTCTCATAATCATGGTTTTGCCTCTATCGTCTGGGCCAATATACAAACTGTACTGGCCAGCAGCCGAGGTTAACCCGCCACCTAGAAAAAGCCAGGTAATCGGCACACTAGGGCCAGTCAAAGCTGCTGAGACTGAAACGGTACAGCAAAACCAGACAAAAGCCAAATGGCATTAGCTGGAACGCCTTACATTGCACGATGGCCGAGGCAAAACACACTGCGCAGGCGTAGCCGAGAACAGCAGCGAGATACAGCTGCACCGGCAGCGAACTCCGCAGGTAGATCTGTGAGACTGCGTACGGGGGCAGCCCGTTCAACAGAAAACAACCTCAGTTTGCAACCTCATGGTCTGTACATAAATCTGCACTTGAACTTGCCAAGAAGGTCAATGGTATCCTGGGGTGCATCAAGAGGAGCGTGGCCAGCAGATCGAGGGAGGTTCTCCTCCCCCTCTACTCTGCCCTGATGAGACCCCACCTGGAGTACTGTGTCCAGTTCTGGGCTCCCTGGTTCAAGAAAGATGAGGAACTCCTAGAGAGAGTCCAGAGGAGGGCAACTAGGATGATGGGGGGACTGGAGCATCTCCCCTAGGAGGAAAGGCTGAGAGAGTTGGGCTTGTTCAGCCTGAAGAAGAGAAGACTGAGAGGGGACCTTATCAACACATACAAATATCTTAAGGGCGGAAGTCACGAGGATGGAAGCAGTCTGTTTGCAGTGGTGTCCTGCGACAGGACTAGGGGCAATGGGTGCAAACTGAAACATAAGAGGTTTCAGTTGAATATGAGGAAAAACTTCTTTACTCTAAGGGTGACAGAGCCCTGGCCCAGGCTGCCCAGGGGGGCTGTGGAGTCTCCTTCTCTGGAGATATTCAAAGCCCGCCTGGATGAAGTCCTGTGTAGATTGCTCTAGGAGAGCCTGCTTTAGCAGGGGGGTTGGACTAGATGATCTCCTGAGGTCCCTTCCAACCCTTACGATTCTGTGATTCTGTAACAATGCCCGCTGTAAGATCAAGGGAACAAAACAGAGTAAGGGACTGCTTGATCCCGGGGCGAGGAGAACCCTACCATAAAGGGTAATGAACAGATCCACAAGTGAACTGTTTGAATTATTGCTTCCGGAAGCAACTAGTTCTAGGATACCTGAGGCTAAACTAGTGTCCTGCAACAGCAAGGAGTTAGGAGACAACGACAACAGCCACAGGGCGATCCTGCTCAGTATCTGGAGGAGGGAAGCTCCCGAAAATAACTTAGTGACAGTAAGCATCAGAGCGCAACTTTGCAATAAAACGCATAGAATTAGTAAGAACAAATTATAAAAAGTAAAATTCTCACACGTGGCATGGACATTAAATGAAAAGAGCAATATTTTCAGAAGGCGTACACCATAGCGATGAGGTAGTATCAGCCTCTGCAGTGTCACAAAACCCAACAATGATAAAGTTATGGCAGTAACGGGTAATTCAAAAGTCACTGACAAGCCTACCACACCCGGGCGATACACACGCACGATAAAAGACAACACAGTTGCACAGCAAGCAGAGCTACCACTTAACAAGCAATCCACCGACCCCATCCCCTCCAAAATGTTATACCAAGACCTGGAAAGCAAAGCGTGTATCCGTACTTTGAAAGAGCAGGAGGAACATTTGTAAACTTGCATTTGTCTCTCATTTTGCTTGAAACTGCAGTTCAGGAAGAGCAAGAAGATGCTGGAAAGGTCACAGTCTGATCAGCACCCGGAGAGGAAAAGCAGATCTCACAAACCCATCAGGATTCTTTGAATGCATCGATAAAGAGAACTGGGAGAAAAGAAAGTTTGTTGCTCAGAGTTCACTCACACTTCCAGAGATTTCCAACAAAAGGCTCCTAAAAACCATGTGGCTATTGTTTAAAAAACAAAGAATTGGCAAAACTCTGACGCTGGCTGGGACAGAAGGCAAAGAGAATCAAATGGAGATCAGGCAAGAAAGCAGCAAAAATTCTGCAGGGTCACGTCCTAAGTAGGGAGCATTTTAGTGCATAGTGATGGACTGGAAGGCAGGGGACAGTAAAATATTACATATTTAGTTTAGTTAAGATCAGAGAGAACCGTGTGGAAATTCAGAGCAACATGATCTAGAGAACAAAAGACTGAAAACACGAGGTAAAACATCAAAAAAGGAGTAAGTAAATTTGGGGGGGAAAAAAAACCCCAAGGTACTCGTAGCAGTTGCAGTAATCTAAATGAAGTGTGCCACCTCCGGAGGGGGATCCCGTGCGGCTTGGGGGTGGAGGGGGAGGGAAACGGCCGGGCAGGCGAGGCGACGTGTAAGGATGGAAGGGTGACAAAGCCAAAACTCTTACAGCGTATTCACGTTGACTGCCTGGCGTGCTGTAGGCTGATCACACAACGTCAGCGCAACTCGATGGCATTCAGGAAAGTAAAGAAAACGGTTAAGGACACAGTAAAGACTAGGGGTATTGAGCGATTCGCTGCGATTCTGAAAAGAAGGGTCGTGGGTGAAGCAAACGAAATGAAATGATGATGCCCCGTTTCTGCAGGGAAAGCACCGTGCTCGCAGCCACCGGGCCGCTGTCGTCACCCGGAGAGCCTGGGCACAGCAGAGCCATCGGCCTCACTCCTACACCAGCCAGGTACATTCCCAGTCCACCACCACTGCAAACACAACCCTCGGCTGGACAAATGCTGTGCCCCCCTCCTTGTAAAACTTATCCCTGCTCGTAGCTGTTAAACATGAAGAAAACATCGGTTCGGTTTAACATTTAAAACCCAGGCCAAGAACGAGATTGCTACTGGGGTTTGGAGACATTTGAACAGCACGAACATCAACCACATCCTCTTTGAAGCCTCTCACTGCTGAAACTACAAGTTCTGCGTGAAGTGGAAACATTAAGCCAAATGCAGGCCACTCTTCTCCAGCCTCAGATTCTATCCGCATTTTCGTTTTTATGCTGTCTTTGAACAAAGCAAACTAATCTTTCCAAACCGGGAATGGCCGCCCAGGCTACAACCCACACCTGGGAAGACAACTCACCCCCGGAGCAGATACAACAAAGCCGTGTTGTGACATTTTGCACATCCTCTGCCCGTGTAAAAGCCCTCGGTGCCACAACGGCTGCCGTGTTGGACTCACAGCTGCAACCACAACAGATTCTCAAGAACAAACAGGAGAACTTGAGAAAGCCAACCGCGTCACAGCTGCCTGAGCTCAGCTGCGGGCCCCCGAAGCGAAGGGGGGGCGGATGAGAATACATCCCTGGGTCCCTGGACCCCAAAGCTCCCAGAAAGGTTACATCCTTTGCAGAGCTTTGCACGCAGCCAAGCGGAGATATAACATGAGAGGGGGTGGGGGCCCCATCCCTGGGACCATTCCAGGCCAGGTTGGCCGGGGCTGTGAGCAACCTGATGTGGTTCAAGGTGTCCCTGCTCCTGCAGGGGGGTTGGGCTGGGTGGGCTCTGGGGGTCCCTTCCCACCCAAACCATTCTGTGATTCTATGATTCTATTAAGACATGCACGTGTAGAAAAATATTCAGTCTCATAAGGACAAGGCTTGACAAGCTGAGTTTGTTTCCTTTAAA